TCACAACTGGACTTATGGACTTAAGTTTATCTAATTAAAGGAGGAGGGGTAAACAGGGTCATTGGACCCTCACCTGAGTATCCAGCTGCTCTTCCCAACCAACTGTATATAATTTGGCCCTAATCATACATGGTCTCCTGGGTCTGGGGAGGACTAAAGTATATTATCTGGAAAGGCTAGGAAGAAAAGGCTAGATCCATGCTAGGTTAAGGCTTTCCAGTGTAAATACTCTCAGGTCACTCATATACCCCAGCAACCCCTCAGTCATCTCTGTAACTAAGCTCAATAAATTTATTGGTTCCCCAGAAAAATTTTAATGTAATCAAAGATTGGTTTGATACTACAACCTAAAAAGGGGAAAAACATTGCTTAATAGCCCCAGAAAAGAATTCTCACAACAGATGGAAAGTTTATTTGTTAATGTTATTATGTCTCATGGTTGTTAAAAAAGAGAATGGTAAGATAAAAGATTTTAGAAGGATACAGGAATGGAGGTATTTTGTTAAAAATGAGAATGTGTGTAGATTTGTTATGATTTATCAAGCATGAGAAGATGATCTTAAGATTTCTAAGGTCATAGCTTAGTCAACTAGTTTAAGGACGTCTCATCAAGGTTTATTTAAAAATGTTTGGGTTTTGCAGCTCTACCTACATAACACATGGTAATTAAACGTACCAGATTGGTGTAACTAACCTTCTTGGGTGTTTAATAACCAGACTTTGAGGCCTATACTAATCTGGTCAGAGGGACTGAAAGGAACAAATTTTTGTTCCTTGCCCTCCAAGGTCAAACAAGTTCTGGGAGCTATGGAGCATCTCTCAAAATGTCCTGTAACTGTGGTGAGTCACCTGTCCTCTTGTTCATGGAGGCCATGGAGACCCCAGGTCAAGTAAGACCTCTTGGCTTATCTTCACATAGATGAAACTGGTAAAAAAAAAAAAAAAGCCTGAGGAGCCAGGGGCTTCCCCCAAGCACATGTGACCCCTGAGAAACAGATCCTCATATGACCTTAAAAGTAATAATATATTGGTTTATTTGGGCCAACTATATGGCCTTAAACACCCAAGGGGGAAAGTATAACCAAAAATTAAAGTGATCAATATATTTCTTTAAGAACTTAAAGGATTACACATCCCAGACATTAGACTTAAGTTCTTATGTTATTTAGACAATTATTTCTCATTGGTGATTTTGTTCCTAATAGGACAGTGCTACTCAGGTGTAGGACTTTAAATCTTGGTCTACAATACTGTAGTGCCCACCTGCAGCTGAGGGAAACAACTCACTATTCTAAAATGATGGCTAAATTTGTTTTCTCTCCCTATCTAGAGGCCATTTAAGAGGGAGCTGATTCTAGCCACTCCAACAGTTATCAAAGTGCCTGACAACAATCCTGAGTTCATCGATCATTCCAGCCTTGGCAGGCAAAAGAAAAATGAGAAAAAACCTGTTAGATGGATGCTTTTGGGAGCCCTCATCAAGAAATTCCAATGGACTTTAATTTGGACATTTTCTGGTTCCCTGACTAGAAATTGAAATACTAACTTCTCTTGCCCTTACTCTTACCTTTACTTTTCCTTCACATCTTCCAGGCACCAAACACCTTTCTTTTCTCCCTATAGTCAAGAGATATGTAATTTGGGAGTCTTTTAGATAGACCCACTGAAGGGTGTACCCCAATTGCCTCACCCTGTGTCCCTGTTCAGCATGGAAGAAGCCAGAGCAGTCTACATCCCAATTTCCCTATTGGCAATTTGGGTAAGCCTCTTCAGAGGATAATATGATAAGAACAGGAGATAGAAATTGGCTAGGCAGCTAGGGTAAAAAAACATCAAAGAAAAGTAGCCAGTTTCTTTCTTGGCTAAAAGTCAAAATGTTCTTGGGCCTTTTAGCAAAGTACTCTGCCCCAAAGGCCAAAAACGTTAAAAGTATTTGTGAGCTCTTATCCCAAAAAGATTCTGGGGTTACCTCTTCAGAGGGAAAATGTTACAATATCAATAGCCCCTTGATTACGTTATTTTGATGCTTGCTCCCTGTTTCATACAATTTCTTACAAATTACTACCATTGCAAAAATTACTACCAAGCAGGTCATGGTCAGTTATCAAACTTTGGATTCTCCTGAGATAGATGAGTTGGCTCTTAAAGCTTGTGATGACACTTCTCCATTTATGAAATAAAATGTGGAGATGTTGGGGAACCCTGCTATTAAGGTTGGCTCCTTTCTCATGAGGGGCTTCCTGCCTGACTTACCTGGAAAGTGCCACCAAGCATGGATGCTTGGCCTCATTTGAAACATGACCTTTGGCATAGTTACCTGCAGTAAAATTGCCCCCAGGTTTTTTCCATATAATGAGGTATTGCCCTATAGCCAGATGATAGGATCCTGCTACCATATGTAAATAAAGCACACTATGAGCACCTATCAGCTGAAGCATTGGCTGCTGCCTCCACACTATATTTTCCCTAACCCCCACTGAATAAACGGAGCTGTTTCAATCACTGAACCTGTCTCCCCAGAAGGGCTTTCTTCCGTCAGTGCTCACTGGCTGTCCTGACCCCGTTTGTTGCTTCTGCTCCCTTTGTCCTCATGGACCGGTGGCCAATGACCCACAAGGGAAGGGAGTGACCCCACAATACTCTGAGTCCTTATGTCTCATGTTCTAATAATGCTGGATATTTCCAGACTTAAAAAGTTATTGTGTCTGTACACAATGTGTGTGGGAACACATGTGCCACAGCATGCATGTGGAGGTCAGAGGACAACTTTTCAGAGTCTGTTCTCTCCATCCACCTTTACTTGGGTTCTGGGGATTACACTCAGGTTGTTAGACTTAGATGAGAGCTATATCACTGGCCCTACTGTCAGATTTCTTAAAAGTCAGTATGGTGGTAGGAAATGGAACGTTTTTAAATTTTTCTTTCCCTTTACAATGTAATGAAGTCAAGCATCTCCAAGTGCTTTACCTATTTTTTCACTTTCTATTGTAGTTTTTCAAACATTATTTCTGAGTATTTTGTGCATTTCATAATATATCTTAATCATATTTAGATGCCTTCCCCTACCTGCACTCCCTCCCCTTCATAGCATGCCCACCGGATTTCATGGATTCTATCATATATGTTAAAGCCTATTGAGTCAGGTAACTTGTATTTTTGAACTATTATCAAAGTTTTTTGAAAAGTATATTTTAGCTGTTGCTGAGGTACAGAAATACAATTTATTTATATACTGAACTTTGATAAACTATTATCTTTGTAGATTATTAGCTCTGAACAATTAGTGAACCACTTAATTTCTGAACTGTATTTGTTAGTGGCTTTTATTGTTAAAATGTTTTATTAAATTGAGAAAATGTGTGGTTTTTCTTTTCAATTTATTCAGTGTATAAGTGGAGGGAGGTGTCTGTGGAGGCCGGAGGACAACTTGTAGTCAGCTTTCTCCTTCCACAGTATGGTTTCTAGGGATCAAACTCAGGTTATCAGCCTTGGCAGCAGATGCTTTTACCTGCTGAGCAACCTCACCAGCCCAAGGTTTTTAAGGAGTTCTTCTGAGACTTTTTTGTGGCCTAATGTGTCTTCAATTTTCATAAAACTTTTCATGTGTCTTGGATTTAATGTGTCTTCTGTGTGGAATCATTACTTAAGTGTGTACACGTGTGTGTGTGTGTGTGTGTGTGTGTGTGTGTGTATTAAATCAAACATATGACATTTCTGGGAAAAAAAGTTTTGAGGTCAAGGCTTGCTATGTTGTCTAGGTTAGCCTCAAACTTATAATCTTTCTTCCTCAGCCTCCAGATGTTGGGATTACAGGCATGTCCCATTATGCCCAGCTGTAGAAGTAATTTTTATGGTATAATGAATTTCATTTATTAAGCATGATTACTGTTTAACACCACCTTAATTCAGAATCATCTTTACATTAACACTGGACCACAGAAGTCCTTGGATATATACACTATAACCTTTATCCAAAAGTCGGACTTGATGTTCAAAAGACAAGCTGGCCAAATTCCACACTGAGTGGACTGACAGTTGAAATTTGAACTTTGATCTGTTTTAGTTTACAACACAAGGTTTTAATGTTAGAGGTTTCAATTATGACTTAGTCCATCTCTCTTTACCTTCCCACAGATATATTCGGACACGGAACTTTCAATACCTCTCTATACTCTTAGACCTTCCTCTGATCCATCTCCTTTGCTATTTTCAGTGAAATCGATAGTCAAATATAAATTCTGGTGGTATAATGCCACTAGTGCACATCATTATTTCAATGCATAAGCCCTTTCACCCACATTTTTCAGGTCCTTATCAAGACTAAAGGGTACTAATATTACAGATAAGAAACTGTTCTCAGAATTTGTGCAACATAGTTAAATTTCCACATGAAAGGCACAGATACAGTTTACTTGGAATAATAAGTATTTATAAAATGAGTACTTTATAATAAAAATGAAAATTCTAAGCTCTTGTGAAACATCAGACCAAAGTCAGATTCACAGCGGTAAGGGTACTGGCAGGGTCATCTCACCCAGTTCCATTCTCTTGCTTCTAGAACTTAGATCTAAAGTGGCACTGAAAATTGCTAAGTGGATAGGTTAAGCTTGGTATTTGTATATTCAAGGCGGTGCCACTAATCCAGCCTCCCATGAATAAGGCCAATTAAACAGATTAGCGCTAGCTTCTCAGAAAATTATCTAAAGATTGTAGCATAAAAGGTAATAGAGGGCATCTCTTTCTCCATGAGCGTCCAGTTTCAACTATCTTAAGGACACCTCAAGGTACATCGTTTCATTCCTTAGTCCACTGCATAGTGAAATGAGAACTGCTACTGCCCTCTAAATTCAGACTAGTCCAGAATTCAAAGGACAACTCATGCAGGATCCGTCATTGCAAAGAAATCGGCATTGGGGAAACGAGAAAGCTACCCGGACCAAAGGAAGAAAAGCATCAAGCATGGACCTGTTTTTGCTGGAGGCCAAGGCTAGCGTAGATACCTGAATTGAGTAACAGTCAGCACAGCCCCAGGATCTGCCCCAAAGCCAGGTAAGTGTTGATTCAGGTAGGCCTCCAGGGCCCTGCGGTCGAACTGGTGCTGGGGCAACACTTCGACGGTGTCGCTGGTGACATCCACCTCCATGACTGCTACAGCTGTCAGAGGACACAGAGGTTGCTTATACTAGCAAAGGACAATCTAGACTTTGGGGGCGGGGCGGGGTAGGGGCTTAGCTCTAGCCAATCATCCAAACTCTGGGCGCGGTGGCTAAGTAGTGCCGGCCTCCGGACTCTAGTGCCTTAGGGTGTATCCCGCCAGATATAAAGGAAACGCCCACTGCAGGACCAGACTTAGGATTTCCTATCAGCGCCAGGGCTGGAGGCCTCTATTTTGTAGAAAACAAAGTCATAATCGTTGCAAAGACGAACAAGGCCGCAGGGATTTGTTCCACATTCAGATTCAGCGTACGGTCCGGCGGAAAAACCCCTCAAGTCCGACTGAAAAAAGAGTTCGCCGGGACCGCGAGCCCGGGAATAAAATAGCCTCTTATCCTCCTGGCCGCCTAGACTGGAATGGAAACATCGGCATCTACCTGATCTGGACACTGATGGCCGCGGTTCTGCTACGGCCTGGGCTAGTAGAAGTAGTGACGAAAATAAAAACCTCTTTTGAGGAGAGTTTTTGCTGAGGGGAGTTTCGATGGCGACGCACCGGAAGTGGAGCCGCGGAAGGCCGATGGGCGTGGCGGAGACGTGTCAGCCTGGGCTGCGCTGGAGGAGGCGCTTCCTGGGGTGTCGGAACCGGGAAGGCGTCGGACTAGCTCCTGGTCTCCTACCCCTCGTGGGCCCAGCGGAGCAGCGTGGGGCGGCGGCGGCGGACGCCCGGGCTGAGAGCGGCGGCCACCGAGGGCCCAGCCATGGCCGAGTCAGTGGAGCAGCTGCGGCAGCGGGTTGAGGAGCTGGAGCGGGAACTGGCCCTGGAGAGAAGCCGGAGGATCCTGGGGGGCGGCGATGGAGGGGGCGGCCGGACCCGCATCGAGAAGATGAGCCCCGAGGTGGTGGACTCCAATCCCTACAGGTGATCTGAGTGCGGGGGTGGCTGGCCTGGGTCTCCCCAGAACTGGACTGAGGCGCTCCCCTTCCCCATGCCGTCGGCCTGCCACTCTTTTCTCGTGGGGGTCTGTTACCAGACGGGCAAGGCCACGCTTAGTGCTGGTCAGAAGGTATTTATTTTTCTCACCGGGCGTGGTGACTCACAGCAGAGGCCCCAGGACTCCGGAGGCTGAGGCAGTGGGATTGCCGCGAGTTCCAGGCCAGCCTGGGCTACACGATGAGTTTAAGGCCAGCCTGGGTTATATAGCGAGACACTTCTCCCGCAAAGAAGAAATCATTTTATTTAAACAAACAAACCAGGCATCCATATGGTGCCGCTCTTCTGCCACTGTCCAATGTATCCAGTTTCCTGTCACTCCTTGTCTCTGTTGGTCTACTTCACTCTGCCTGAGGCAGATATTAAGATCTGTAGGAACACATCATTGTTCCTACAGAGATATTAGGGTGGTCTCATGACCTCCGATCATTTGATTTTCTCAGGCCTGCCTGCCCCACTCCTCTCAAAGGTTTATCAGTGCAACAGAGAGAATTCAGTGTAAGAACTCTGCATCAAGACTGATTGGATTCATTTCTCTGTTTACTAAGTAGCCCAGTAACCTCTGACAACTTCTGAACTTCTGGTTCACTTTGCTACCTGCAAAGTGCGGATGATTGCAATGTCTGTCATAGTTATGATGATTGGAAAAAAAATCGGTATATGTAAAATTCTTAGAAGTTGTACGTGGCAAGCCTTGTACAGGACCGCACAGTGCATGCAGTAGCAAGCAGTTATTGACCTTTCATGACATATGTTGTCTCTTGTCACCACAGCCAGCCCCATGAGGTTGCTGTTGTTTCACTGACATCCTATAGGTGAGAAAATTGAGCCTTAGAGAGCTACCTCAGATCATAGATCTATTGTAGGAAACGGAAGAATCCAAAGTGGCATTAGGTTTGTCACATGGAAGTCTGTCCTCAGTAAGTCATTAGATATTGTGGCTAAAAGTTGGGTAGTTTAACATGGGTGAAATAGGAAAGATGCCATTGATACTTTCTGTTTTGAGTTTAAAAGTTATTTGTAGTTATTTGTAGTACGTAGAGCCTCAGTGGCAGTATTAGTGTGCCATGTTTTGGTTGTATTGCCAAATATGAAGGGATAATGAACTACAATTTTTAGAGCTTGAGTACGCAAAAACTTGCTATTCCATTTGACATCTTTCAACATTCTAATTTTGTAGATGAAGAATGAAATTTTCCCTCCAAGATGAAGTATAAAGGAATAAGGGCCTTTAAAGTCATCTTTCAGAAATTATTTTAATGGACATGATCCCTTGACTTTGTACTAGTGACAAAACTTTCAGAACTCAAGTCTAAACATTTTTCTTTTTCTGTCTAATTTACACAATTTTCCTTGACATAGTCGATATTGGTCGATGCCCAAGCTGCTTACTGGTCTGTGAACATTTGACCACCTTGATTTTCTTGAAATGGTCGTTCAACTCAGACATACATTGAGCACCTTAAAAAAAATCTCTAGCCACCATTGATATTATTTATCTCCTATGAATATTAGAAGCCAACACCGTGGATATGGAGTAGACATGTCCTTTTCCTCAGCACTTACTAAATGAGAGATAGAAAGGTGAACATGTGCTTGCAGTGCAGACCACTAGAATTACGACAGGGGAAGTAGAGGACAATTAAAAAATGCTGGAAAATGGCTTTGGACGTGTTCACATCATTGTAATTGCATCAGGTGATATAAAAGAAATATAAATCAATCAACTTTTAGGTCTTTTTGCTTTAGTTTGAGAGACTAAATGTAGGGTGAAACAATGACTAAAAATGATGAAGTCACCATGGAATTGTGTGGTATGAAATAGAATTATGAGCGTGTGGGGAAACTGGAGAGGCAAGGTGGGGCTTTGAGATTAGAAGTCGTTAGCTTCAAATCCTGGTTTAGAAACTCAGCTCCAGGTATTGTGTGCTGGTTACTTGATCTGGAGTAATAAAAGGATCTGAATTTTTCCTCCTGTAAAGAGAGGTTGCATCATATTCAGGAATATTGTAAAGATGAAAAGGAACACCAAAGAGGATGGCAGTACTCAGAGCAATTTAACTTTCTAGCCAACTCTACTAGATGGGCATTAATTGAACCTTAAAAAAAAAAAAAAAAGGTTTTTTTTAATTGATTCTTTTTCAGAAGACCTGAGTTTAGTTCCCAGTACCCACCCAGGCAACTCATAATCACCTGTAAAAACAGAATAAAAATTCAAAGAAAGATAGAGAGAGAGAGAGAGAGAGAGAGAGAGAGAGAGAGAGAGCTTTGTTGGGCCTCCCTCTGTCTCTTCTTCTCATCTTGAACACAGCTGTAATGTTCAAAGCTACAGCAGGCTTCTTGTCATGACAACATAACTAAGAACAAACACCAGCAGCCTAAGGTGTAGAAGCAATGAAAGACCCTGAAGCCCCACTGAGCAGCTAAACTAAGTCAGCCACGCCTTCCTCCATACTCCTTCTACGTGAGAAAAACAAACCACACTTGTTCAATGATTGGAAGTTGGGTTCTTTTTATCCCTTCACATTTTCGCCAAAATTGTCTTTCACTTACACAGTTGATGTGTTTGGCTGTTATAGTACATATACGTTACACTGCCGTGGATACACGCAGAGCTTTGGAAAAACTCCAAATATGATGGGAAAGGAATCATTGCACCATTTTGAAATATGAGGAGACTCTGGGACTCAGAGAGACTTAAATGACCACCATAGCCAGGGTGGAGCCAGAAGTCCAATCTAGGTTTTCAAGACTCCAAAATCTATACTGTGACATCTATAGGTTGCTTCATGACAGGGCGGTGCTGCCTTCTGAGCCCGTATCCCTTATCCTCATGGGGACCTTCCATCAGTGCACCCTGAAGCCCTGGCTCTGGTGCAGCACTCTCTGAGCGGCTGTGGTCTTGCTGCTCATGATGGGAGTAAAACCTGTTGACAAGAATCCACCTGCCCGTTCTGGGTATTCTCTGAAGAATCTTTTGGGAACATCTCCCAGCAGCATCCTTGGATCCTGGCATTCTCCCAACTTGGGATGGGGGTATAGTCTGTGTATTTGAGGAGCACCAAGGACTTGTATATCATTGGCTGGAAATGCCTGGAGGAGAGGAAGAAGCAGAGGATGAGGGAGAGGTGGCTGCAGGGTCAGAATCCCATGGGACCTCAGAGGCCAAGGTAAGGATTTTGCATTTATCCTCGGTGTGATGGAAAGTCACTTTTTGACTTTGAGTGATGTAGATATGAAAAGGACTGTGCTAGTGTACGCATGGAGGAAGCTACGTATGTCTATAGACAGTAAGGTTGTATGTACTAGACCTGTCCAACCTTTTGATATTGTGACACAATGCTGTCATCTACAAAGTTTACTCTTGAGAACCACACAACTGAGTTATAAAAATAAATTGCAAAAAGAAATCTCATAATGCTTTAAGCAAATTTATGATTTTTGTGTTGGGTCATGTTTGTAGCTACCCTTGGGTGCCTGCGGCCTGTGGACCATGCAGCCTATGGACCATGAGTTGGACATGCTTGTAAGCTATGGCAGTGGAAATTACAGAGACGATGTGGTCTTGACATTGTTTTGGCATTAGAACCTATGGTGGTCTTAGTGGTTAAGGTGAGCTGTGAGCAAAGGAGAGCAGGCAAAGCTGAGTCTAGGCTCCAACTTGTGTCATTGTTGTTGGACAGATGGTCATTTACTGAGATGACTGGCAGTGTGAAGAAACATATCTGATGTGGGGACAGTGGGTGTTAGGCAATTGTTTTTCATAGATCAAGTTTGAGCTTGAAGCCATGGGCCCCTAGGATGGGAGAAGGGGGAACAACATAACCCCAGTTTGATTTCTTTATGGCTTTTCACCTGAGAAATAGGCAGTGAGTTCTATCTCCTTGTGGCTTCTTGTCCTTAGCAGTTAACTCTCCACTTTCCTAAAATGGAGTCCATTTCCCCTCACATGCAACGGGTCTCTCTGTACCTGTTATGCCACAAAGAGCAAGGGCTTCCACTGTCATCCCAGCCAACCAACAGTTCAGTTATTTCCTTGTTTGGGGACAGAGACAGGGTCCTTCTCAGCCATGGAAGGTGCACATAGACACCGTTAGACCCACAGAGAAAGGGAGGGGAATCACCAGGTGGAGCACACTAAATCCAAATAAAAACCAAATCTCTTTAAGAGTCCGTGGTCTCCCCATTCTCTACTCAAGAAGTCTGTAACACTTGCCATCAAACTTCCTCTTTGCACTGAACCATTTTCCCATCTTTTAATTCTTTCACTTATAGAGAAAAGGATTTACCCATTAGCCAGTGACCATTAGATAGCCATGTGAAGAGTAGTATAAAGAGGCTCCAAATTCCCTAAATATATAGTCCTGAGCAGCACACTGAACTGTTTTTATGAGCCAGATGGCAAGGTATCAGAGTGAACTGCATGTGCCAAGAGATGTATTTGAAGATTACGACAAAGTCAATCATGAATTACATGCAGACGCTCCGTGATTTGAATTTTTCCATATCAATTTGCCGCTGAGCAAATCAATGTGTTACCAAGAACATGAGTGTGTTCGACTAATTATCTCAACGTAATCAATAAGTCAGTTCAATGCAGAAAGTGAAGTAATCTCCTTTAAGATTTTTCTCCAAATGCCCAAATATACAAAAACATATATAATTAGGGTCACCATGCAGTGTAGCAATATAAAAAGAGACAAAATAACTCCAGGGAGTTGGTTCTCCCAAACAGTCCAGCTGCCTGGGTCTGAATCCTGGCTTTGATTCTGAATAGCTCTATTAACCTCTTTTGGAATGGAAAATGTAGGCTGCTGAGCTAATTCAAAGAGAGAACCCCATAAAGCTCTTAGCACAGAACCTGGGTCAGACTACTAATGTAATAAACACCAGTTAGCTGTTTTTCTTTATATGCACAGATGTGCACAGTGGAGACATACATAATTCACTGAGTATATCCTCAAGAATGTAGCTCATGAGTACTGGGTTTGCATTATTTCCAAACCTCGCGATCCCTCTCCAACTTCTTCCACGCCCCCCAATTTCTGATGCTCTTTATTGTTACATAGCATATACATACATATACATATGCTACATAGCATATACATACATTCCTTTATACACACACACGTATGTATATATGTGTGTGTGTATATACATATATATATATGCACGTATATAAAACACTGAGTCCATTTAGTGGTTCTCCTGTGTACCTGTGTTTAGGGCTTCTTATTTGGGCTTAAATATCCTCTCATGGAGATAGTCCCTGGAGAAGACAGATTCTCCCTATCTCAGCATCCATTGATTGCCTGTAGCTCTTTGTCTTGAGATGGGACCCTGTGAAATTCTGCCCATCCACCTTGGCATGTTAACTGGTTTTCTCACTATGCAGATCTTCTTAGACTATCATACTGTGGAGATTTCATTGGTGAAGCTTCCTTGTCATGTCTAGAATACATTAACTAGTAGCAGGTGTCTTGTCTCTCTGACTCTTACATTCTTTTCAGCCCCTTTTCCAAAATGTTCCTGAGTCTTAGGTGTAGAAGTTGCATTGTAGATGTGTCACTTAGGGCTGGGCACCCTAGAGTTACTTATTCACTATGTTTGACCAGTTGTAGAACTTTGTTAATAGTCCCCATCTGTTGCAAGAAGCTTCTTTGATGAGTGGTGAGAGGTACACTTACCTGTGAATATAAGGACACATTTAGAATATAGTAAGAAATTACATTGGTCTAGGGAAGTAGCAGAAGTAGGTTCTTCTCTAGGGTCTGTGACCTCTTCAGTCATATGTACTTGGGGATGTTTTCTATGCAAGAAGAGTTCTCTCCCATTAGTAGGCCTTAAGTTCCAATTAGACAGCTGCTGTTTACCCGCAAGAGAAAAGTGCCTATAGTGATGTGTTTTTGAAACCAGAAGAGGGGTGAATGAAGAATGAACTATTTAATAGATTCTAAGAAGTCAAATCTTAAGCCTGTATTTCAGTTATATCAGAGAATCACCTAAAATTTTCAGTGATAGTCACAGATACTTGTAAAAGAACTTCGGGTAGGGCTAAAGATATTTCAGTATAGTAGGGGCCCTCACCACAGGGAGAGTCCATGAACATCTGTGTTTTTAAACCCACCCAGTGATTTAATTTTATCTAGCAAATTGTCCTCAGATTTGCTGTGTGCCCCATGTTGGTCTTGAACTCCTAGTCCTCCTGCCTCAGCCTCCTGAGTGGTAGTACAGATTCATGCCACTGTGTCCAGCTGTAGTCCTTCTCTTTGAAAGTAGTAGTGGTTGAGCTTTGGTGATTGTGTTCTGTGATGATGTATGTCTGTCAATATCACCAGTACTTAAAATATGAGCTCTAAAACATTTTTTCCTTTGTGTTTTAAGTCGCCTGATGGCTTTGAAACGAATGGGAATTGTAAGCGACTATGAGGTATGATGAACGTTTTCAAGCTTCTGAGATGATTTCAGTAAATGAAAATGATTTTTTTATGACAGAGTAGTGCTGCTGATCCAACGTGTCATTGTGTTTCACAGAAAATCCGCACATACGCTGTTGCAATAGTCGGTGTTGGTGGAGTTGGTAGCGTGACTGCCGAAATGCTGACAAGATGTGGCATTGGTAAGGTAAAAGGATTTCTCTTTGCCTGTCTGCTAGGGAACTGTTCATTCCTGGAGCAAATCAGGTACAAGTTGGCACTTTTCTGCTTAGTCAATTGTTTATTGACTTGTGGTGTATTTATTCAGATTGTTTTTTTCTTCATAAGAGGTTGGCACATATCCGTCTCCAAACAAAAGCTCATATTTCTGATTAAGCAAAGAGTATTTGTGTTCAGGAACCTTTGTTTAGTGTAATGTGTAATAATTTGGAATTAAGTGTTTTGGATATAGAACTTTAGGTAAGAAATTGATTGTATGAGTGGAACACTCAAATCTTGAAAATTGTATTAACACACACACGGTGGAAAGCGTGCATCTACCTACCCTTCCTTCCTTCCTTCCTTCCTTCCTTCCTTCCTTCCTTCCTTCCTTCCTTCCTTCCTTCCTTCCTTCCTTCCCTCCTTCCCTCCTTCCCTCCTTCCCTCCTTCCCTCCTTCCTTCCTTCCTTCCTTCCTTCCTTTATTTTTACTTTGTGTGTTTTTGTGTGTATATTTATGAGTGTTCTGCCTGCATGTATGTAAGTGCACCTGTGTTGTGCAATGCCTGCAGAGGCCTGAACAAGGCATTGAATCTCCTGAACTGGAATTATGGATGATTCTTAGCCCCTATGTGGGTACTAGGAACCAAATCCAGCATTTCTGCAAGAACAGCTAGAACTCTTAACAGTTGAGCCATCTCTCCAGCCCCTGCATATACCTTTCTTACCCTTGAATTTGACTTAAGGGGATATTTTGGTTTTGTTTGTTTGGTTGGTTTTTGACCCCACCCCATTTTTAGATTGGATTTTATTGTAGAAAGGAAGAAGTAACCTTGTACCAGAATTTAATCACTCTTATCTTAGATTTATAAAGCCTAGGTCTATTGATGTTATATAGTGGTTGACTAGATAAGTTTTCTACAATTACCTGCCCTTCATGATATATGCATCTCTAATATTGTGCGGTGAGTTTTAATATGTTGGTTCACTTTAGATTCTTTAACGTATTTGCAAAATTGGCACTCATTCATCAGTATAAATGTAACAGCAACAAAATACTAAAAAATGTTCACTACAATTTTAGTATCTCTCAAGAGATTTACAAAAGCAGGCCAAAAATTGCTTGTAACTGACTTAAGTACCTGGTTGATGGGCAAGGGATGTTAGAGATCATCGAGATCAGTGGTCAAAAGTTGAGCATGTTGCTAGAATCATTTGGCTTATTAAAGCACAGATTGCCAAACTCTAGCTCTGTGGTTTTGATTTAGTAGGTGTCAGCTAGACATAAAAATTGTCATAACTGATGTCCAAGTAATCCTCAGGGTGCAGAGACTAAACCTTGAGAACCCTTGGAGCCTTGTGAACCCAAGCCTGGTCCCCGAATAGTAGCATTGACATAGTCTGGGAGCTTCTTAGACAGGAAGACAGCTGAAGCTGATGACTGTCTTTGTTAGGCTTTGCATATTAAACTTGGAAGTGCTTTTACGTTTCTGACAAACTCCAGGTTTGTCTGATGCTGATGCTTCCGGACTAGGCTACAGCAGTAGTTCGAAAATACTGCTGTAATTAGAATCACCTGGGAGTTTTGGTGACGTCCTGCTGTCTAGACTGTACCCCATACTAGGTAAATTGGAATTCCTGGTAATGAGATCCAGACATCTGCATTTCCAGTAACTCTTCAAACGATCCCACTGTATACCCAGGTTTATAAAGTAAGAATCTAAGCAGATAAGTTTCAGGAATTCTTTTTTCCACCTGTAAAATAGATAAGAAGCTAACAGGCGAACTTTAGTGGGGAAGTAGACATAGAGACCCAGAGCCAGTTTCTTACCCCTGAAAATATTTGTCACACTCCGGATCACTAGGTCTGAATCAGCTATTTTATTTTCCACGTGAGATACAGATCTAAATAGTCAATGTAATTTTTCTGATCAGAGCTAATTTGGCAGTGGTATAACTTACACTTCCTTTTCACAAATTTAGATATCTACAACTTCCATATAAACCAACAATGAGCCATAAACTCATATTTAATACTTAGCCTCACCTAGTAAATGTACTGAATGAGTTTAGAAAAACTATATTTTAGACTAGTATTGCAGAGTTAGAGGGCATAAGTGATAGCTTTTCTAGAAAGATACTAAAATTTCTATGTATGGATTCATGCTTTTTTTTTTGGTCTTTTTGAGACAGGGTCTCCCTGTAGCCCCAGCTGTCCTGGAACTCACTATGTAGACCAGGCTGGCCTTGAACTCACAGAGAACCGCCTGCCTCTGCCTCCCGAGTGCTGGGATTAAAGGAGTGTGCCACCATGCTTGGCTCAGATTGGTGCTTTTTAAAGTTTCTGTATGAGAAGAATAAAATCTATTTTTTTATTGTTAAATTTAGAGTGCTTAGGATTGTTGATTCACAAAATTTTTGATCAGGAAGGGACCTTGGAGAGCTTGGCTCGAACCTGTTCTGATAGTGTGATCTGTCCATTTTAAGTGGGGTTTATACATGACAAACACTGTTTGAAACAGACCTAAGAATACAGCAGGAAACAGCAATTGACTGGTTTAATTCCCTTTGGAATAATTTTTTTAACCTTTATAAAAACTTTATTGAGAATTTCATTCATGCATATAAGGTGTTTTGATCAAATCTGTATGTTATACAGAGAAGGGTTGGGTACCAGAACAGCAATAGCGTGTTATTAGAAAACTGGAAAAGGAATACACAGCTAAGAGATAGACGAATGACAGGGTCTTCTAAGCACACAGACATCCCTGGTGGAGAATGAAAAGGACTGGACTAAAGGTGAGAGGATGCTTTCCTCCCCTCCAACACCTCCCATAGCTCCCCAGAATTTTTGTCTGAACTTCGTGTTCTTGCTCTTTTCTTTCTTTCTCTTTCTTTCTCTCTCTCTTTCCCTCCCTTCCTTCCATCCTTCCTTCCTTTTTTCTTTCTCTCTCTCCCTCCCTCCCCTCCCTTCCTTCCTTCCTTCCTTCCTTCCTTCCTTCCTTCCAAGTATGGCAGGACCTGTGAATATGACTGACCAACTCCACTGATTAGTTTGCATTACATAGAAAGGCAAGGTGTTAGCCATTCTGATATGGCTCTGTTGCATTATATATGATGAGGGTAGGGCCACTGTGTTGACTTTGACAAAGTAAGCTTGCATGCTGTGGGAGGAAGGAGTTGCATGTGGCAGGGATATTTGGTGGCCTTAGCTATTGACAACATCCTTGGGCTTGGCTAGTATGAAAATGGGCATCTCAGCCATAGAGCTGCAAGAAGACACTTTCTTTTCTTTCAGCTTTTTGCTACTCTAACATTCCCCCCTCTGAAAAGGTAACCCTAAAATCCTTTAGGGGTTAGATAAGAGCTCCCAAATACTTTGGACATTTTAGGCCTTTGGAACAGAGTATGTTGCTAAGAGGCCCAAGGTAAGTTTTTATGTGCCATTTTTTCCTTTTTTTATTTTTACAAAAACTTTATTGAGAATTTCAGACACGCACATAAGGTGTTTTGACCAAATCCATGCCCACTGCCTCCCCTCCAACATTTTTAACCCTGCCTAGCCAAGTCCTACCTCCTATTCTTATCACACTGTCCTCTGAAGGGGTTATCCAAATTGCCAATAGGGAATCAGGATGCAGACCACTCTGGCTTCTTCCATGCTGAACAGGGGCACAGGGTGAGGCAATTGGGGTACCCCCTTCAGTGGGTCTATCTAAAAGACTCCCAAATTGCATAACTCTTACTGGAAGGAGAAAAGAAAGTCCTTGACTGGTGAATAGGGATGTGAAGGAGAAGTAAAGGCAAGAGTAGTTACCATTACAAGTTCTAGACAGGGAACCAGAAAAAAGTCAGCACAGAACAGCAAATTTCAAATATTCATATCAGAGCCCATTGGGATTTCTTGACAAGAGCTTCCAAAAGCGTCCCTCTATTGGGTCCTCTGGCTTCTTCCATGCTGAACAGGGACGCAGGGTGAGGCTATTGGAGTGCCCCTTCAGTGGGTCTATCTAAAAGACTCCCAAATTGCATAACTCTTACTGGAAGGAGAAAAGAAAGTCCTTGACTGGTGAATAGGGATGTGAAGGAGAAGTAAAGGCAAGAGTAGTTACCATTACAAGTTCTAGACAGGGAACCAAAAAATAAAAGTCAGAACAGGGAAAATTTTAAATGTCCAAATTAACGTTGATTGGAATTTCTGGATGAGGGCTTCCAACTATTGGGTTCCTCCTCATTTTCCTTAGGCCACCAAAGCTGG